TGGTGTATGTATGGATTGTGATAAGAGTTGTATGAGCCCCTAATAAAATGATTTTTTAAAAAACACACCTCTGCAGATCCTAGTATTTTGTAAATTTCAGAAACACACAGGAGGATGTTGACTAGAACATTCTATTGCTTTGGTTGCTGCAAGCTTGCTATGCCCTTGAATACGATGTTGTCCCGGAACACCAAAGAAACACCAGTGACCTTGTAAGCTAAGGGATGCAGAGTTCTTGGGATGACTTACCCCAAACCACGGGTGTTTCAAGATCATCCACAGAGGCGGAAGCCCACTCTTTCTCTCTCGCCCGTGGTCCACAGCAGCACTACGTCTGAGGCCTCAGAACACGCCCTCTCACGGGGCTCCAGGGTGCTGCAGCAGAACAAAATCAGACACCGAGTCAGAATGGAAATGCCACTTCAAGCAATTAGTGGGGGGCTCAGGGAAATCCCTGGCCTTTATCAAATGTATATTTGATCACCTGCAACAAGCATATTAACTACCAGGATGGACATATCTCACACACTGATTGATGTTGGGTCCTAAAATGCAGGCGTTGGGGGAGGAAGTGGTATCCCAGGCAGGCTAGGCTAGCGACTGCAGGCGGAGAAGTACAATATGCACCCTGGAGAACAGGCTTGCAACATGGCACATTGACTGGTGGATGCTGATAAATACAGAAGGATTAAGGGGCCTGAGAGGCTGTTTTCAAGAACAGGAAGTAGAGAACGTTTTGTTTCAAACAAAATTTCACCTTATTCTTTCCAAAGAAGACTCACACAACTGGTTGAGCTGACCTCCCAGCTTCTCCAATTAAAGAGCTATTCAAACTACCCAAAAAAAGTTCACTGCCATCAAGCCACTGCGGAATCACAGCCACCCAATAGTACAGGGTAGAAGTGCCCCTGTGGATTTCTGGGACTGTAACTCTACAGGAGAGAAGGCTTCATCTTCTCCCAAAGAGTGGTTGGTGGTTTCAAACTGCTGATCTTGCAGTGAGTAGCCAAACACATAACCCAATACACCACGAGGGTTCCTGCAAGCAGTTAGTAAGAGTGAACAAGAAAGGCACAGTGGCAGGTTTCTGCTGTCGGATGCCTGACAGAGCTTGAGAAAGACAGCCTGCACACAAGTTGAAGAGGCAGTAGTTATTTCACACACTGAATTCCAAATGAATGGCGAAAATATGCATGCCTCCGCACCGCCACTCCAAGCAGCTGACGAAACCTACACACCGGAACACTGTGTGACAAGGTCACTCTGCCAAGTTCTCCTTTGCGGTTGAGAGCTTATAACTGTCCCTTGTCAGATGCTGGTCTACCTGCTTCTGGTGCTTAGCAAAATCCACCCCACAGCTTGTTATTCTGCCCAGGGTCAGCTGAGAGCTGGGAGAGAATCCCACGTCCTTGTCTTTCTAGGCTTTTGGTATGAGCTCCTCCTTCATCGATTTGCAAAGGCCATCAGAAGTGTGCTGTCAGAGGTGGCTCCACAATCGCATCTGTGAGTCCAACTCTCCATCATCGATCCCAGGGCTCTCACCACAGCTCTCACAACCAAGGCTTGTAAGAGAATTTCATTGTATGCCTCCTAGAAGCCCTGGTGGCACAGCGGTTATG